CCGCGTTTCAGCGTCAGCGCTGCTACAAACGGAGACAAGGGAACGGACCCATCCCTGTTGTGCTGCCGAGTGTCTTTGTGCCCAGATGCAAAGCGCAGCTTTTCTGACAAGTTTGCAGCTGGGCCTGGGAAGCGTTTGGTGACTGGTCCGAGCACGGCTGCCGCTGCAGACTGCAGAGACGGTTCTTTAGGCGGAGAATGAGGGAAGGTCGGGGACAGACAAAACCTCTAGGGATGAGTGGTTGTACGGCACCAGAGCCTTACAATCAAAAATGTATAATGGCGAAGCCACGCTAACATTCGAGTGGCTTGCAGAGCGCGCCCACCACACAACGGGAATAGTAACCGTTCCAGTTATTACACACTTCTGACAGTTATTACACACTCTTTGTCAATGGCACAGGGACGAGAAATCGTTCACATCAGCAAACGCAAACCTGCAACTTTTGAAGGGCACGATCCAGAGGAGTCCACTGCTCTCACCAAAGGATCCTACTAAACGTTTGGGCAAAGGCCGTTAGCTCAGCCAGATTTTATTACCAGCACGTTCAGAGATGCCTGCTTTTTGCTGGCCCTTGTTGAGAGTTTGGGTAGTCCAGTCACTCTAAAATATGATAACTTTGCATTCAAAGAGTGGAGCCAGATGGACAGATCAATTAACAATCAACGGTGCAGCAGTATCTCACAGTACACGACTGCCATAGAAGTATACTTTTCAATAGAAAGCGTCAGGGAAGAGCAGATTTTCTATTCTCTTCTCAACATTTGGTCTGACTGTTAAATCCCCCTTCGCAGCTTGAGCTGCAGGAAAAGGGGCTTATAAAAGCTCTGGGAGTTGCAGCACTTCCAGCCATGGCCTGGAGCTGGTGAAGGCTCCTTCCAGCCCAGCATGTAGGAAAATTATGCTTCAGCAGATGGTCAGGGGTTTCCAAGACAGGATGGCACTTGTGCACAGTACTCAGAGGTCCCGCTCTGCTCCTATAATGTCCAGGTACAGGGCTGCATTAGTGAGCGCGTGCGAGTGGAAGAAGTTGGTCTTCGACGTGGCTGTGAATGAGCAATGATGGCCCCTTGCAAATGTCTCAAAGTCCTTCCGTGCAGAAGGGCAGCCCCAAAAAGAGCGGCGAGGGGAGTGGGATCGGGAGGGGCATGGGGGGTGACCCCCACCGTCCGGAGGCTGAATAAGGGCAGGATGGCTACAGCCATTTGTACCTTTTGTTCTCTGCTGTAATAAAGCCATGCGCACAGGCACTTCCCGTGGCAACAGAAGCTGTAGCGTGCCATGTCACGGGAGAGCCACGGAAATGCTTGAGCACCCGCTTCCCGTGCTGCTTGCTCTTGCCATCTCCGTGTTGCTGCTCCAGAGACTGGGGAACGCGGGGAGGGGGGGCCGCAGCCACGAGAGGGCCCGTCCCGTCCCCTCGGGGCCTGGTTTCCTACGTCTGCGCCGTTCGGTGGCTCTGCAGTCGTGGTGCTCCTGCGTGCGAAGCAGCAGCCTGCGCCTGGCAAACACCTTCTAGCAGGCGGGGCTGGTGCCACCGGAGAGCTGGAGGTGGAGGGGGAGACGGTATTCACAGACCCTTTTGTCATATTTGCTTCTCCACAACGCGAGGAGTGCTTTTATTGGCATAAATCTGCTAGGTGTCCTACCGTAGTGCAGAGCGCCAACACGTGACCCAGGTGAGCGCTTACCCATCACTAGCAAACAGGGACAGTCTGATCAAATACTCCTTCCTCCGGAGCGTGTTTGAGCAGAGTGGCCACCTGCCCCCCGCAACCTAAGGCTGCCTCTGGATAATTCATGAACAGAAAAAAGGATTGCATTAATTGGATGAATTTTTCACTAAGAACAATCCCAGCAGCTGTGACTGCGAGGCAGGTGGTTGTGAATGATGTACAAGATGTCTTAATTCGACTGACCCTGTTTTCTCCCTTTCCGAACAGGGGGTTTTGCGGAGCTGCTCCTGATGCTGTTTGGACTGGAGCTTCCCTTCACCGCGTGCTGCCCCACGGACTGCGTCTGCTACCCGGCCCCTATGACCGTCAGCTGCCAGGCCCACAACTTCGTGACGATTCCCGAGGGGATTCCAGAAAACAGCGAGAGGATTTTCCTGCAAAACAACCAGATCACCTTGCTTCTGCGTGGTCACTTCAGCCCTTCCATGGTCACCTTGTGGATCTACTCCAACAACATCACCTTCATCGACCCAGACACCTTCGACGGGTTTGTTCACCTGGAGGAGCTGGATTTGGGAGATAACCGCTATTTGAGGGCTCTGGCAGCGGAGACCTTCCAAGGGCTGGCGAAACTCCACGCCTTGTATCTGTACAAATGTGGGCTGAGCTCCTTGCCCAGTGGGATATTTGGTGGCCTCCACAATCTACAGTACCTTTATCTACAAGACAACCACATAGAGTTCCTGCAGGATGACATCTTTGTTGACCTAGTCAACCTTAGCCATCTCTTCCTCCACGGGAACAAGCTCTGGAGCCTGCATCAGAACACGTTCAGGGGGCTAGTAAACCTGGATAGGTTGCTCATCCATCAAAACCAGCTGCAGTGGGTCCACAGACGGGCTTTCCACGACCTCCGAAGACTGACCACGCTTTTCCTGTTCAATAACAGCCTCTCCGAGCTGCACGGGGAATGCCTCGCCCACCTGGCGGCCCTGGAGTTTCTCCGGCTGAACGGCAACCCTTGGAGCTGCGACTGCAAAGCCCGGTCGCTCTGGGAATGGCTGCGCAGGTTCAGAGGATCCAGTTCCAGCGTGATTTGCGAATCTCCTGAGCAGATGCATGGCAAGGACCTGAAGATGCTAAAAGTAGAGGACTTTAGGAACTGTTCTGGGTCTGAGTCCCTCCATCAGATCAAAACACACACGTTCTCCACCACCGACAGAGGAGTGCCCAAAGACCACCACCCCCACCACTCCTCCAAGGAGAAGGGCAAGGAGAGAGGGATGGAGCACGGTTTACACAGCAGCCAGCCTGCACCACCTCCTGGCTCTCGGCCAGGGTACAGAAAGCCCAGCAAGAACTGCACCAGCCACAAAAGCCGCAACCGAACCTCTAAACCGGTGTCCCTGGGGCCACGGAAAAGCATTCACGAGGTTCAGGACTACGTGCCTGACTACCAGCACAAATTCAGCTTTGGCATGATGCCCACAGCACCGCCAAAGCGGAAGGGTAAGTGTACCCGGCGGACACCCATTCGACCCCCCAGCGGAGTCCAGCAGGCAGCTGGGAGCTCGCGGGTCAGGGCCTCCCTTCTGGTTTGTATAATGGTGTTAGTGGTCATAATACGCTGAGCCGGGCTGTGACGGACAGAATCTGTACTGCCACCAATCTACAAAGGACCAGAGTTTCTTTTCTTCTTCTTTTTTTGTACATGGAGAATTTGGCCTTGTGAAGGAAAGACCGTTGCTTAGGCTTTGGATGGTCTCCATACGTGGACGGGCGGATTATAAACATGGACTGTACAGGACGTGCACGGCAGGATCGGATTAAAGGCATTATCACATGCTTGTCACAAACAGCCCCAACTGAGCACCTACAAAAAAGCCAACCTTACAAAAACAGATCAAAGGGACAGGAGCTAATCCTCCATTAATAACAACTGGACAAGCATGGACAGTAGCTGTGCTCTAGGTGAAATCCTGTTAATTTGCGAGAGCTCTGAAAGACCCTGCGATTACAGACGGGAACATAACTGCTGTAAAAACGATCACCAATTAAGCCTACACTGTTTACCTGGAACTGTGCGCAGACACTTACCAACGCGGCACAAGGACATCGGTTCTCCCACATCCCGCCCCTCTCGGCTCCGAACCCGCAGGCCGACGTTGGCTGGAAATCTCTTGGAAGACAATCTCAAATCCCTGAATATCTCAGGCACACAGCAGAACAGGGCTTGCCTGCTGGGCTAGGAGTAGCCAACTACCAAAGGAAAGACTGATTAGAGGTGGAGAGTAAAAACTGAAAAGGATTGAGGTACCTACAGCAGGTGCGTTTTTTGTAACCGTGTTCACATATAAAAAACCAACAAATGCACAGGTCCCTTCCCCTCAATTAACCGTATGTATGTCTTACGATGTTTATAAACTATATGGAAACTGTATCTGCAGAACTAAGGATTGTATTGTTGGATTTATAGCAAAACAGTATCTGGTTTTCTCTAGTAAGCGATTGGCAGCAGTGCCTACAGATGCTGGCCAGCCACCGTCGGGCTCGCACGCGCGGGGCAGCCGCAGCGGACCAATGTCCTTAGCGATTTAGAGCGCTAGCCTGTCGGAGGTTTTTTGTATGCAATGCAACAGAGTCCATATCTGAAGAGCCAAATCTCATTCTTATGCCCTAACTTGTAACCCGTCACATGGGAAAGGGATGAATTAGAAACGTCCAGTCCAAACAACAGCCATAGAGCTCCAGCTCCTAGAAAGCGCCCCCAGGCCTGGGGCAGCAGAGAGGCCTTTCTAGCGGGAGTCCGCGGCGGTTCCCAACAGTGTTAGTGGTGTGAGGACCTTTATAGCTGGTCTAAGGTTTTCACCCCAGCGGAGGGAGAGGAGTCGGGGCTGGCTGCACAGTCCCGGCAGAGCGGGGAGGGTTTTGTTCTGTAAAAAGAACAGATTTTGCTGCGGAGAACGGAGAACGAGGTGGAAAGCAATTGACTGGGAATCTTGTCGGTGACCTGTAAGAAACGTAGAGCCCACGGCTTCTGTCCACGAGAGAAAAACCACGCACGGGGCAGCAAAGCGAGAGGAGGGGTGTGGTGAGGCGGGGAGGAGGGGGAGGAGCAGGTCTGCCAGCTCCCTTAGCCACGGGCCGGGGCCGGGGCCGGCGTCGTGGTCCGGCGCGGGCTGGCTGTGGCAGAGCTGGCAGCGTTGCTGGTCGCAGCCTGCGCGCTATCAGAGACCGTGTCCCCAATTTTGCACAAACAGTCAATGTGAATTCCCTGTCACAGTGGATATGTGAGAAGAAACAAAACAGTGACGTTAATGAAAGAGGGAAATAAAAGCGATGTTGGACAAGCCAGGCCTGTTTTTCATTTCCTAACCCCGCTCCAGCTGCGGTGACACATCTCTAGGCTGTAGCTCACGTTGGGAGCCAGACACCACCCTCACGAAGCGGCTCGTGCTCTCGCTCGTGTACACGGCGGCCGAGCAAGGCTGCGCTGGCTCGCTGCGACCGCAGGAAAACGTCTGCTCCCCAAACCGCGGCCGCAGGCCGAGCAGCGTTTCCCAGCCCCATCGTTCAGGGAGCCTTTCGCCGCCGCGCACCGTGTGAACGGCCCACGAGCTCTGCCCCGCACCTGGGCCGCGGCGGCGGAGCGGGCGGCGGGCTCGGGGCGGGTGGCAGTGGCGGGAGCTGTCGCAGGCTCCTGCCAGGGGCAGATCTTCATCGAGGGTCTCGGAGCTGAGCCGGGAAAGCCCCGAATGCACCTGCTCTGGGGACAGGCGATGCCGGCGTCGCGTCACGTGTCCTGAGGACACCGCGTGGCCCGAGAAGCAGGCGGCTAAACGTTTAGCTGGAAACCAGCGGAGCGTCTCCTGCCAGCCTAGCGTGGAGCGGGACAAGCGGGGAGACGGCGTGGGGGCTGCGCAGCAGGTCCAGAGCCTGGCAGGAGCAGCGCTGGGAAGAGAGGAATCGCTTCTCTCGTCTTGTCCGCTCTGTTCCAGCTCCTCGCCAAACCTTGCTATCTGCAGGGCTCTAAGCCTCCACTAAAGGGATGTCCAATGCAGCCAGAACAAATAATCCACGATCTGAAATAGCTCCCTCACGTCCTACACACGATAACCAAGAGCAGCTGAATGTTTCTGGCACTGTCCTTTAGAACTGGAGGATGTTGTTATGTTGGTTATTTCACTTCATACTCTGGAAATCAAAGCTCTCAGTGGGAGAATGAAGAAGAGAAGCACTTTATTAATTTTTTTAAAGTCTCCGTGTAACTCCTGTAATATAGAAGTGAGATGTCAGCACAGGGGATGCTAATGTTTTAGAAATGATTTGGGTGCAGCAGGCAATGCGGGTACTCTTTGAGATGAATTATATTAGAACAGACTATGCCTGGCCCTAAACCATAATTGTATTTTTAGTATCTTTTCCTCCAAGATGTAGAAAAAATAAAGGCAACTCCGTCATGTATTACATCCCTTGTCAATCAAATGCTCCGACTCCTAGCAATAAAGGATGCTGTTGAACAACCCAAAGTGAGACGTAATGAACTGCTAAGCAGGGGAAACCACCTGGCCCATCACAGCGTTGAGTCTCCACCACGTTCCTCTTACGGCCTTCTTGCTGCAGGCCTCTGCACCCACGCCTCCCCTGTGGCCACGTCCGTCGGGGTCCCAGGTCGTTCGCACGGCTTGCTCTGACTTCTGCCCATTGGCGCTGGAGTCGCTGGGGTGGGGAGGGGGACCATTTGAAACCTAGACAGGACGCCTCTTTCTAAAAGACCTGCCCTGCCACGGGGTGGGATGGAGGAACCACAGGGGATTGCCCACAGCCTACCCGACATGGTAGGTCAAAGTAGATGATTGCAATGGTTTGTTCTGGCCTTGAGATCTGTGAACGCTTCCCCGTCAGCCCAAACCTGGCCCCAGACCCACAAGCCCTACGCGAGCGCGTGGGCAGGGAGGAGGAGAGTGCCAGTTGCCAGCGCAGTTAGTGCCATTAGCAGGGAGAGAAGCGTGCCAGCCCCCGGGAGAAGAGCCAGCCACTGCTCCAAGCTGTGCTGCTTACACTCAGGGCAGCCCAGCTTTATCGCAGCATACAACCCTCACGCGGCTGGTCTCTTGCCTGGACCAGCCCGTCGCCCCTCCGGAAAGATGAGGGGAGTGGGGCGCTGGGTACAGCGGCAAGCTCGCCTCTGCAGCTGCGCTCCTTCCGCTTGCTGCTCAGGAGGCAGCTTGCCCGTTGCCCATTGCCCGTGGCCGGGCCCAGGCTAAGCACTGCCCAGCCCTGCTGCGCCACTGGGCAACGTGCCCAGCCACCGTCTATTCCTCCCGCTGGCTTGCCACCTTCACGCAGCTCCACGCCGACCGGCACTTCCCCGTCAGAGTCACGCTCCCATAGGCAACGCCAGTCCTTCCCCGTCTGACCGCCTCGCTCCTCTTTATTTCGCTGCCTCCGTAGGCTTTCGTGTCCCAGCTCTGGTTCCCTCGTACCAGTCACTGGCGCAGCGTATCAACGAGAGAGAGAGAGAACCCCAAACAGACTCCAGATTATGTCTCTGGAAATTCACTCGCAGCGACAGAATCCCATTTCCAGCCACATGCTGTGTTCTGAGCCTGAGCCAATTTTCTACCCATTTTACCTCTTTCCCATGATTCTGCACTTCAGCCACAATTGCTAGCAAGGAGCCTTATCATATGCACTTTGAAAACCCAGGCATATGATGCCCTCTCCTTTCCACTCGTCTGCCCAGGCAGGAAAGCATTCAAAGAACCAAAGGAAGTTAGTCAAAAGAAAGCTTCCCTTCGTCAGCCCAAGCAGACATCAAATTAAACAGTTTCAAGCATCTTCCCCAGGGCTTACACGCAGTTTCTTGACCAGTACTTGCTTCACGCAGTGTGTGGCCTTTCTTCCCCCTTTTTAAGATAAAAACCTTGCTGTCCACCTTCATCCTCTTCAGAAGTCAAGCCTGCTTTCAGAGGAGTGCTCTCCCCCACCGCAGGCCAGCTCAAGGCAAGGGCACCACTTTTATATACCGGCAGACGGACTTCGACAGCTGCCCGAGTCCATCCGCCCCAGGCTCACCACCGCTGGGTTCGTGGCATGCTTTCTGCCACCGGTGCTGTGCCACGTGCAACAGGATTTCCAAACGTGACATTTTCTGTTCTGCTCCTTGCTGATTCCCCACGACCTTGTACCTTGACAGACTTTATCTCCCTTATATCAGCCAGCGTCTCTTGCTCATCTTAGTCGACACCACCCCGTCCTGTGCGTGCCCGCTGTCCCCCGCCCCAGGGACTCTGCCTCAAAGCAAAGGGGCCCGTCTCAGCTCCCACCGGCCTCTTCACGAGACTATGCGAGGGACCGAGGAGTGCCCAGCGGGTGTCACGTAAGCAAATGGATCTGGACTGAGACTCTCCAGGCTCTTAGGAGTCCCTGGACACAGGCGGCTGTGACCGTCTTCGCCGTCCACAGCCATTTCCACCTTCCCCTGCAGTCTCTCGAGCCCTTCCCCTACCTAATCAGGAAATCTGATCCCCGTCTTCTGCAGCTTTCCATCCTCTTCCTCCTCTGTAAAAACAGAATCAAAATAACTGTTTAACAAATCAACCATTACCTTCTCCCATGTCACCAATTCCCTGCTATCATTCTGTAATGGACCAATTTTCTCTTTTACCTTCTGTCTGCTCTGAATATATCTCAAGAAGCTTTGATTGTGTGTTAAAATATCTGCTGCAATTCTCTACTCAATATCTCTTTCTGCTCCTCTAATTGCCCTTTAACTTGCTTCTAAATTTTCATATAAATCCACTGATCCTCCTCTTCTGCCAGGTGTTTACGTGCCATTTAGGACATATATTTATTAGCACAACTTGTTGTTTAAACACCATGCAGCACATAACTGCTTAATATTAGCTGGGACTACACGCCGCTCCCCTGGAAATGAGCCCCACTTTCAGCCCCTATTGAGCACTGTGCCTGCCTCCTCTCACTGCACATCACTAGCATTTTGTACTTCGCTGTGGAACATTAACATGATTAATGCCAGCTTTGGCAGATATATCTATCTCCTCGAGAAAACTAGAGGGATGAATGGGGTTGAAGAGTTATGTTCCAGCCTGGGTTTTTCCTGGCCACGTGTAGAGGGAACAAAGCAGAAGAAGTGGAGCCCAGACAGACGGGGGCCTAGCCCAGAGTGCCAGCCAGCAGCAAACAGAGGCCGGCCGCGAACAACCTGCCCCGCTCTCCGCCCTCGCCCAGGCAGGCCCTACGGCCCGTGCATCGCTGACCGGCCCCGTGACACGCACGCGGCTTTCCACACCGCCTGCGAGGATCAGAGCTGCTCTCTTTCTTCTCCCAACTTCGGTATTGTGGGCTCACATCTACCAGGCCTTGGGGAGCGCTCTACCCAAGTGCTGCAGCAAGTTTCCCATGTTTCGAGTTATGCCGTTTCCCAAGTCAAGTATGAAACAGGACATTTAGATTATTATGCAGACGATGCAGAGCACCATGTCACTGCTTAACAGATATGAAATAGTAATTAACAGTAATGGCACAGTGTCTCTCTCCACCACGGCCGCCAATTTAAAATTACCCTACTCGCTGGAACGGAGTCAGGGCATGGCTCCCAGCACCCACGAGTCAAGAGCCAGCCAAAAACACCGCAATCAAACCTTCAAAGGATGCAGCTGCCGGCCACACCCCGCAGAGCCTTGCTGAGCCTCATCAGCTTATAGCTCTCCATCTCCTTCGGTACAGAAACCAATACATCTGACTGCAGCTGGTGCACACGCACCCTCCCAGGGGACAAGCATTAGAGAGAAGATAAAATTAAGAGAAAAAACTGTAGAGAGACAGAGCAATTAGGTAAAGACATCCAAAGCCCTTCAGGAACTTCACTACCCCACAAGAGGTGAAGAAAAAGGCACCAGGATCCCATTCAAGAGCAAACTGTCCTTAAAGCACAGACTGGAGGTCTCTGAGGCCACTGCGCAGAGATAAAATGTGCATCTGTCATCCTCTGCCTTGCTTGGAACGGGACTGTAATTTCTTCCCCGGCTTCGTCCCTTCTGCCTTCCCAGCGCTTTTCCATCCCCGCAGATCGCTAGGTTTGTTCAGGCCTAAACAGGATGAGCTTCCACTACGGCTCACGTCCCTGCAGCCGGACGTCATCACAAA